TTTAACACGTATGTCAAACATAGTAATATACACCACGCATGTGTACACACATGCGAACATACAAAAGACACAAAAGTACCCGAATGTACATATAGCGTCCCACTAGGTATGCGAGTTTACACGTTGATCTACCACTCACACGGTCAACATACGTGCACATAGTCTTGTGGGCTTGTTAATTCGCCAAGCTGCCTCTGGACCAGTAAGCTGTAGGACTTTTCGGCTCCGACCGCTTTGGCCTGTTCGCAGCATTGGGTTCGATTAGGCTTTGGGTTTGACGAGCAAGGCATGGTCTCAGGCATTGCACCGTCCTGTTTCCAGCATCTAACAGAAAAAGGCGCCAAAAAGTTGAATCACACCTTAATGGTACGGCATGCCAAAGTACTCAGCTGAACATGTAAAATGCTATAGCAGCTCACTGTGCTTTGCAGGTATATAGGAGCGGACTTGTGCAAGATGTAGAGGTGGCACATCGCAAAAGGCTTAATTCCCAAAATACCGTTTTAATTGCACGTGCAACGACCACTGTTCATGCTTTAAAGTAATCGTAAGTAACTGGTACTACTGTAGAAATATTAGTAGCAGTGGAGTAGTAGCAGTCGTCGTCGTGGTGGTGGCCGTGGTAGTGACAGTGGTAGCGGCAATGGTACTGGTCGCGGCGGTGGTGGTGGTGGTGGTGGTGGTGGTCGTGGTGGTGTTGGTGGTGGTGGTGGTGGTGGTGGTGGTGGTGGTGGTCGTGGTGGTCGTGGTCGTGGTAGCAGCAGCAACCGGAGCAGTAGTGGTAGTAGCAGTTGCTGTTGTTGCTGCTGTCACACTGGAGTGTGTGATCCGACCTAATCTAGCATAGCGCAATCATCATATGTACATATACAACGATGTACATACATGCATGTATACACATTTGTTGTACCTATACATATACATACATCCTTGCCATGCATCCATGCATCCATACATCCGTCATCCGTCCGTCCGTCCCTCCCTCCCTCCCGCCATGTACGCATGTACGCATGTGTACATACATGGATATGGCTATTTAAGTTTTATCTATCCAATCATTTTCTAGGTATTTATTCGCGTACTTACGTATATGTACGATTGAAATTAGACACTGCACACTTCTGAAAACGTGATTATCCTGCCGATAAGGATTTGCGGAAGTCAAGTAGCAGTCGGACCCGGCTGCCTGGCCTGCAGCCGACCGCTCAATCCTCAGTAATGTGGGTCTAAGAAACCTTGGGCCTTTATTACAGTTCCTTGAAAGGGGTCTCTAAGGGTTACTATAAGGGATCTCAAGAAACCTTGGGCCTTTATTAGGGTTCCTTATATGAACCCTACTGTTTTGGGGTTATAGTCCCAGGGTTTCTTAATCAGTTTCCTACAGTAGGAGAGAAGGAGCAAGGTCTGAGTGCGGAAGCCAACTGAATGAGCCTGGAGCCTGTGATATAGGAGCCTAAGTAATTAGCAAAATACTGTTGTGGGAGTTCCTTTTTATAATGAAAGTAAAATGGGCCCCAAAACCCTGTTCTAATTCTTAAGGCCCAATATTATATAGTACCCTTATAGTTAGTATAACCCTTATTGTGACCCTCTTCTAGACCCCTTTAACGGAACCCTATTCTATAATTATCACTAGGAACCCCCCAAATAGCATCGGTAATTATAATACTAGTATTAGACCTGATACGGCCGGTGGGTCACGGGACCCCCTTCAAACCAGCCGAGGATCTCTTTCCGCAGCTGACCAACATTCTCCTTCAAGATGTTGGTTGCACTGCCTCGGGAGGCCAGGCTTAGGGGTTTCGTGTTTAGGATTTAGGGGATTAGGGGAGTAGGGGTTTTTTGTTTAGGGTTTAGGAGAGTAGGGGAGACTGTGTGGCGGGTTTGATAAAGTTGTAGCTGAACCTCTCGACTTCAAATTCTGGGTCGGTATTCTGGTCGTCTGAAGCGCCCATTGCCTTCTAAAAGCCTCAGACAGAATACGAATTCTCACTTGCAGCCCACAGCCCCAGGCAATTAACACTGTCATACACTTCTTGATCCGGTAACTTTCTGAGTCGTGTTTTTTAATCAATGCAACCACCCTTGGAACTGCTTAGAAACCCTGACTATGTCACATGGGTGGTTGTCAAAATTAGGGTCCCTCTTTGGGTCCTTATTATAATACGGCACCTAATATTTCGGGTACCCAAAACAGGAACCTTAACTTTGACAACCACCCACATAAAAGCGTACTGAGTCCGATAATCCTGCACGTAGACTCTCAGAGACTCAGAGCTTTGGGTCATCTGTGGCCTGTGGCTTTAGAAGCGGTCTTGGGGTATTTATGATATTTGTTTTTTTGCCTCCTTGGTACACTCTCGATGTATTTATGATATACATCGCAGGACTCTACGGGAATATTGGAAAACCAGCACGACTTGCTACGTCTTCTGATGTGTCACCTCTACTTACCCAGATCGTTTTCGCCGGAGCACAGATGTTCTCGGAAATGCTGCCCTCCTCCTTGCGGCAGAGGTGGGATATGATCGGTTTCAGCACATGTCAAAGTCGATCTGAGAATCTTGCTCTCATGCCAGGAAAGGCCAATTAAGCTCTCATTGCACTGAGCTGTTTGCGGCGCCTTTGCAGAGAAGTGAAGTAGACAGGATTATTTACCAGAGATAGACACGAAGTTAGGGTTGCCGGTAATTCCGTTTGTAGTAAGCAGCTGAACTACTCCGTGGTTCACACGAAGAAGATAGTAGGAGGCGTGGAATCTGAGTCCAGGTTTCAGGAGACATCTCTCAGAGCCCCAGCCCAGGTGTCTCAGCTGCAGCTTCTAGATTGACAGTTCCTAGACATGCACCGACCATAAACCCTCGCTAGCTGCAGCCTTTGCTCTCCTGGCCCAAGAGCTCTCAGGAAGCCCTGTTAATATCCCTTGGAGCACCCTGCACAGCAACTCTTACAGTCCTCGTAGCAACCCTAAACCAATCACATAAACGCGAATTATGCCTTGAACGGTCCTCCTGGGATAACACCTTCAGGTTTGTCTCGAGGATCTGCACAAGCGCATCGATGCTCTGCGCCACTCCACCTCTTCCAAGAGCTGGATTCGGAGTTGTGGGCTTAGGGGTTCAGTTCGCATGCTCTGTCGAACAAGCAATAGACCTCGAAATAACTTAAGTCTCGACTGCCGCTGTCGTGAAATGAGCATGCGGTCGAGATGAGCAGCCAAAAACTGTTATTACCTGTAGGTAGGGGTCACTCCTCTCTCTCTCTCTCTGCAGCGCCAGCCTCCCTAGGGTCACGCTAAGACAGGGCACGACTTCTCAGGCCAGGGTTTGGACACTCACACGCGCACAAGCCTGTCAAGGTCTGCAATAACAGTCTGACAAGTACGCTTTGGGGCGTTAGGCTTTAAATTACTTGGAGCATCATGGGACTGAGTAAGTAGGGTTGTAAGTACCGCAATGAGGGATGTAAGTAGATATGACGGTAGTTACTTGTACCTCACTTATAACCCTACTTACTACGTCCCCTGATCCTCTAAGTAGGGTTCATTGTTCGGGCATCGAGGTCGTATCCCATGCTGCCCTCGTCATCCCTGAGCCCTGCCAGCCTACGAACGTCAAGACGGGGGCACCCTGCCGCTTCATAGCAAGCCTTGGAAGGGTTGGAGGTGGGCTTCGGGGTGTTGTCGTCTTCCTTCCGGCTGCGCACATCTCGCGTTGCGGGAGGTGCAGGTAGGCTGGGCTTTTGGAAGAGCTGGGGCAGACAATGAAGATCTTCTTGCTCTGCGGGTTCTGAAAGCAGGCTTGTTGGCGACTTCGGGTTTCCAGGTTCGGTGCCAAGGCGGAACTCTTCAGACGGAGGCTCCGTTTATGAAGGCGACACTGCCCGCCAACCTAAGCCCAACGAGAACAGACCCCAACCCTGCAGCGCAACCCCAAACTGGGTTCTTGTTGGGAAGCTTAGTTTAAGTTACCGTAATGACATGATGAAGAAACCATATTATTTACTGTAGATCCTTCAAGGACCCAGCAAAACCCAGAAAGAATCAGAGCCAAGGCACACTCTCTCGGCCCTCCCGACATGAGTTTGAGCCAAGGGTGGCTTCACAAAGCACGGCGATGCTCGAAGCTTATTGTGTCGTTTGGAATAGGTTTGACAAGGACCCTCAGCCGCCTTAGCCCCGAAATCCCAAGCCACAGGGAAGCAAAAGGCAAGGGAGAGAACAGCAAATAACAGATTCGACTCTCGGACTCGAGGCATGAACTTAATTAAAAACGTCAACGACTGAAGCTCAGTGCATGCCAAAGCTTCACGCACCTGATACGCTACCACCTAGTTCCTAAGCCCCACAGAACCCTACTTCAGCCCCAAACCCTACGCCCTAGACCGTCGATCCCATGATACCTCGTGAGGTTTTGGACTATGTCCAGTTCGCTAACATCGGGGCCTTAAATAGTTAGGACAAAGCATATTCAAGAACGCAACGGAATGGCGTGGGTAAATATTTACCCCCCCTATGTTCGATCCTGAGCCTCAGCCGGAACAGGGTCTTGCTAGACATCCTCGTGGGCCCCTTCTCACCTTGTTTTCGTGCCTTGGACCGAAACATTGATCTGTTTCGTTTGCGATGTCTTCATGGACCTCTAAGCTATCAGGTGATGTGAACTTGAGCTTGCCTTGGGTCTGTTCACTCTGGAAGGAGTGTTCGTCCACGGCTGAGAGCACTCCAGGAAGAAGATTTTGGGCTTGGATTTCCGCTAGGAAAACAAGCTGCACACGCACCAACCTAAAGAAGCCCTATGCCAAGTCCGAAACCTCAAACCCCAAAAAATGCAGAAAAACAAAAAAGGGACCCATCCCGCGACGTGCCAACTCTACGAGCTCCCGTAACGCAAACCCCAAACCTTAAGAGCCACAATCACTTCCCCACAACCCCAAACACAAAACACGAGAACTCCCCCAAAACATCCCAAAACCCCAATTCCAAAAGTCGGCGCATCTGCCTGGGGTGTTTCCGTCGCTCTGGCAGTGGCCGATCCTGCACCCGGAAATCGGTCCAGACTCGGACATGGGAGTTTCCGAAACTTAGGGGTACCTTAGGGTTCCTTTAAAGGGAGACCATAAGGGTTCCTACAAAGTAGGCTCCCTATAACGGTTTAGAGTTTCGAAAATTAGGGGTACTTTATTTTGGGGTACTGAAAATAAGGATCCTACTTTTGAACCCAGGCTCTATGCCATCATCAGCTGGGAATCGGCATTTAGGGTACTATGTTAGGGTCCCCTGTTGTCGGAAGCTCCCACATGCCTGGCAGGGGTTCTTGGTGCGTAGTCGGTTGGATGTGAGATGTAGCCTTGATTGGGAATGACATTGTGCGGTGTCAACAAGGTTCACCCCAACTCCAGACAAAGGAATGTACCGTAGAAATTTAGGAATTAGGGTGATTCAGGGTGCACTACAAGGGTAAGCATAAGGAGTTACGAGTCCACTGCTTGAGGTGTATTGTTTGTTGTGCCTTTCTTCTTTTGAACGCATGTGCCGCGAGTATCCTGGAAGTGACTCGAAATAGGCCCAAACTACCACACACTCACGAATCACGAATCGGTGCAGCTCTGCGGGACCCTAAACCCAAAACCCCACAACCTCCTGTCAGTTTTTCGGTAGCCTGAATATCCCTTTTGAGCACGGGCTTTGGTTGTATGCCGGCAAGCTGGGCTCTCAAGGTCTTCATGAGATACCAGCAAACTTGAAACTAACTCATGTCAAAACCCTAAACCCTAAAATGCCCACCACGGTGCCACTCGACTAACCTTCGGCCCTTCGGCCCTAAGCAACGAAAGAGACTCTGCATATTGAGAGGTGGCTACTTGGGGTCGGGGGACTTAGTAAGTGGCTAGTAAGTAGACATATAAGTACCCTAAAAGGGACCCTAATTGGGGTTATGGTACTTATAAGTCCCTAAAATAACCAGTTACTAAGTCCCCCGACCCTCCAAGTATAGGCTCCCTTGGGAGGGCAGCTGCGGTGTACATCTGGGAGTTTCCAAAAATCGGGGACCCTAATATAGCATCCTAAATTTAGTAGGATCCTTATGATAAGGACCCCAAATAAGGTACTCCTAGTTTTCGGCAACTCCCATCTCCATTCCGATTCCTGAGCCTCGATCTGAGACCCTGGCTGCCCATGCGAAGAAGTCGCACTGCTGCTCGCGCGGCCTGGAGCCGAAATTATGGGTGTGAAGAACGGGTCAGAAGCAGGAGTGGCTAAGCGCCTTGAGCCCCCCCAATTGCATGGCTACCGAAACTTTCAGCCGACAGCTTTTTAGCACTCGCTCTCGGCAAAGCAGGCGAGGTGTGGGGGTGAACACAACGTTTCTGGAGAGAGACTGGCAGACAGTAACAAACTGCAGCTTGCAGGACTGTCACGTAGAAGCAGAAAGTTACACTGCAATCGTCTCGTGCTGGCACGTCACTGGAAAAGTATACGGTAGGCTATTGCCGTGGCGTTACTACACCTGATGTTCGCAAAGCCAAATTTATGTTTTTCATGCTCCTGCCTTCTCCCCACCATCTATGCGAGGCCCTCTAGGCCGGACCCACCATCGGGTTTAGGGTTTAGGGAATATAATACCCTAAAGAGTAGGATCCTCATTATAGGGACCCGAAGATGAGGTACCCGTAATGTGACTGGACTATCCAAGCTCGATGCACTGTTACCCTGGACTCGCGTTTACACTCCCTTGGAGTGCAAAGGCCGAACGAGCACGACGTCACATGACACCACCATGACATCAATAGAACACCCTGAGCCCTGAACAAAAGAACACAACAAGCTAAAACACGAGAGAATAAGGATCCAAAGAAAAACAACTTGGCCCCTTGGGAACCCAATGCTCTTATACAAATCCATACGAACCCATGTGTACTAGTGTACTCTATATAAGGGCTCCTTTATAAGGGGTTCCTTAAAGGGCCCGGGCCCTGTAGATCCCTTAAAGGGACCCGGTAGGGGTCCTCTTTAAGGGCCCTCCCAAACAGCTTCGGCCTGGCGCAGGCGAAGAAGTGCCGCCCTTTGTTGGGACCTCCCGGGTCACGGGATCACAGCCATTTGAAGGAGATTTGTTGGATCAAGTTAAAAGAGGAGGTTAGGGCTTAGGGCCATTTTAAAAAGGAGATTTGTTGGATCAAGTTTAAAGGGGGGTTTAGGGCCTAGGGCATAATTAGAGTTAGGTGTAGATCATTGTTCTTAAGGCCCCCGTACGAAAAAAAAACTGAAAAGCGATGCTTCTGAGGAACACCTAGAACAGGTTCTCCAAGAAAAGCATGTTGCCGGAAGTGACAGGGTTACTGCCGCGTGTTCTTGTTTGTTGGTCCGGTCCGAAGTGGGGGGGGGCGGGGGGAGGAGGTAGTTCAGCACAACTGTAAACGTATGCTTGTCACACCAGCCACTCCCGACACAGACCTTTAAACCGGTTTGACTCCCCTGATACTCGAAGCAGAAACGTTAACGTTTCGAAGCTCTCATCCGCTTCTTGCTACCAGCTGCAGGGCTGCAAGACTCGAAGGAAGTTGTGAAGCGAATCCGGGCTTATACCTGAACTGTCAGCGCAAGAGATTGTCGCCTTCCTTCTTCACTTCAACTTCGCGGCAAGGCTCCCCGTGGCCAGGGCAAAGCGGCACCCTGGCAATGATTTCAATAAGTCTCATGGCTTCAAACCAGGATGAGGAATTCGAAACGACTGCCTACTTCTCCTGCGTGTGCCTTGCCCCGAATCCCCTAGGCGTAGCCTCGCTGCAGCCGCAAAGAGTATGACTGCACGACTGAAGGCGAGCACTGCGCCCCAAAATAGTCCGGCGCGACGGTTTGGCCTCTGCACCGGTGCCTCCGAGGCTGTGGAAGCACGCACATACACATAAACTGCAGGGCAGTCGGGGCAGCAACCCTTGGACTACTATTTCAGGAGGTTAGAAAGTATACCAGGGCAAGTGGCGTTCTTCCGTATGGAGACCCTGCATGAATCAAGCTTGTTACAACTTGCAGACCCTCATCGTTGGTGGGATTTGTCGGGGGCGGGTGGGTGGGTGGGTGGGTGGGTGGGTCTTGACACCCCCGGTCGCAGATCCTACGTGTTAACCCGAAGCCAAAATCTATAGACTCTGCAGCCACTTGCGATTAATTCCGACTCCTCCTATGAGGAAGCTTAGGGAGCAGGGCTTCGCCAAGTACTTTGGCAGCAACTTTCACCTGCTCGAAGAACATTCCATACACCCTAGAATCCCTGAAATCAAAAATAGCACTTAAAGTTGTAAAGCCCTGAACCTTCTACATGTATTCGAGCAGTACTGAGACCATGATCTCAAAACCCCGACACCCCGAAACCCGTAACCTCCAAAGTGCAATTTTGATTGAGTTAACACTTCATGGCCTAAATTAAAGCGGCATGGGGCAGCTGAGCATCCGGCGATCCAAAGCATCCGACTCAGGGCGTATCGGAGCTTCTTCGACTTTCACTGGAACTGGCACAGGCGACAGGAAGTGCGGCTATCCGACTCTCACGCACCAACAGAAGTTTTAGACTGTCCTGGCAACTCGGACATTTCCGACAGGGTTTCTGCGATCGAAGGTGCCGCCTGAAACTCTCGCACGACGGTTCCCCTCCACAATGCAGCTGGCAGCACTGCACGCCGCACTAGGCAGCGAAGCCCTCGTCGTACTGAAGCTCACGACAAGCAGCTACGGTTGAGACGTGGGGATCACAAATAATCACAAGCGAGAAGGAATTATGCTGTTCTGTCCTTGGCAAATGTTCTAGGATCCCCTTGGAGCGTTCGTGCTTTTGCTGATGGCGAGGCGAAGCACTGTGCCAAAGCTGAATAAGCAAGGATTGCCTCACTGCCAGTGACCGGAGCATGCCTGCAACCTCTGCTTGTCCAGCCGGCCCCGCATCCTTGGAGGCGTTGGGTTTCTGAGTTCAGGTTCGGGGTCTACTGTAGGATTTTAGGGTTCCCGGCGCTTGAGATACGGTAGTAGCAAAGGGGGTGGGGGGGCTGATAGCGTAGGATATGATATGGAGCTTGCACCTCCGTTCCCGCCCTCGGGCATGTAATGCCATGGCCCTGGCCTAACATCTGGGAGTTTCCGAAAACAGGGGACCCTAATATAGTACCCTAAATTTAGTAGGATCCTTATGATAAGGACCCCAAATAAGGTACCCCTAGTTTTCGGAAACTCCCATCTCCATTCCGATTCCTGAGCCTTGTGCTGAGACCCTGGCTGCCCATGCGAAGAAATCGCACTGCTGCTCGCGAGGCCTGTGGAGCTCAAACTGTGAAAGTCGAAGAGGCAGGGAGGAGGGAGGTGAGCAACGGGTCAGAAGCCGGAGAGGCTAGGCACAGCGAGCCCGAAGGTGATTGCCTGGTGCATGGCCATTGAAGATTTCAGCCGGCAGTTGCAATACAATCGTCTCATCAAAGTATACGGCAGGCTATTGCATAGGTTTGCAGACCTGGTGATTTTCGCGCAGCCATGTGTGTTTTTTCATGGTCCTACTCTCTTCCCACCATCTATCAATCTAGGCCTGTTGAGAGTTTAAGGGGCTCACACACGCAGGTCCACGGGTTGAATTAAAACACTGGTAGCAGCGAATGCGATTTCAGGAGGGGCTAGCGGCTAGAATGTCGAAGGTGCCCGGTTCGAGCAACACGCCATCAGTCGAAGATCCTGACGCCGCAGTTGCCGCCCAACCAGACTCCACACGCAAAGGCCGAAATGCTCGAGAGATTTTCAAGCGACATGACGAGATACGATCGGTCACGACTTTGGCCACCGCCAGAGCACCATGAGGCCTGCCAAAGACCCGAAAAGCTAAAGCACGGGAGAAGAAGGACCAAGAGAAAGACAAACTGAACCAACCCCCTTGCAAACCCGCAGCCCTTACACAATGCCGTATTAGACAGCTTCGGCCTGGGGCAAGCGAAGAAGTGCCGCCCTTTGTTAGGACCTCCCGGATCGCCGGATGATGGAAATTAGAGCGATTTAGGGGGTTAGGGGCTTAGGACATAACTGGAGTTTGAGGTGTAAAGGATGATTGTTAACAGCCTCATGGGTTTGCACGAGAAGCAAACTAAAAAACAAGATTTCCAATATGGGCACCTAGGAACAGTCCCTCAAACGCACTTTGCCGGAGATGCCAGGGTTACTTTCGCATTTACGTTTTTGTTGGTGCGCCGGGGGTGTGGAAGTTCAGGGCAACTGGAAACGGTGCGTTGATACTTCGAAAAGGGTTCAGATAGCGTTGCAATCTATCATTTAGGTACTAGACCGTCAGGGCAGAGCCTTAGTCCAGCCGATCTTGATTGAACCTTAGACCCTTTCGTGGTAGCGCGATGTGGAAGATTCATTCAGGTTTCTGCCGAGTTGGCAGCGTCAATAGTTGGTGTGCCCTTGGCACACAAGCCACCCCCGATACAGACCTCGAAGTCGGTTCAAGTCCACAAACCAGACACACTCCTGAAATTCCGTCTTGCTGCCAGCCAAGGGGCTTCAAGACTCGAAAGGAAGTTGCGAAGCAAATCCGGGCTTATTCCTGAACCGCCACTGCTAGAGATTGCCGCCTTCCTTCCTCACTTCCACTTCGCGGCAACGCTCCCCGTGGCCAGGGCAAAGCGGCACCCTGGCAATGATTTCAATAAGTCTCATGACGTCAAACCAGGATGAGGAATTCGAAACGACTGCCTACTTCTCCTGCGTGTGCCTTGCCCCGAATGCCCTAGCCGTAGCCTCGCTGCAGCTGCAACATGTATTAACTGCACGACTGAAGGCGAGCCCTGCGCCCCAAAATAGTCCGGCGCGACGGTTTGGCCTCTGCACCGGTGCCTTCGAGGCTGTGGAAGCACGCACACAAGTGAGGAAGGCTGTCGGGACGCTCCTTAAGTGAGCAAATCATAAGGACGGGCCCATCAAGACATCACAGACGGATTCTGACTCTGCTAACAACCCAAAGCCCAAGCCTGCCACCCTACTGACACAGGGCAAAAACATAAAAGACTGTGAGATGCGGAAAACAACTGCACTTGATGCACTGTTGCACCCCTCCCTTCCCTTCGTTCGATGCTGAGGCTGGCGGCAGAGACCCTGCATGAATCAAGGTTGTTACAAGTCTACATGATGTTATCGTTGTTTGGGTCGCTGTGGATGGGTGGGTCTGGACGCCCTCCAGTCGCAAATCTTACGGCAACCCGAAGCCAAGATCTAGAGACTTTGAAAGCACTTGCCATGTTTCCGACTCTTCCTCCTATGAGGAAGGATAGGGTGCAGGGCTTCGCCCAGGTGCTTTGGCAGATCATTGGCCAGTCGGCAACTTTCAAGTGCTGGAAGAACATTCCATACACCCTAGAACTCATGGAATCCAAAAATACGGGTACTACTTAAAGTTTTAACGCCCTGAACCTCCTAAACATTGAAATCGCGCAGTACTGAGACCATGAATGCGACGCCCCGACAACCCCAACCCCGAAACCTCCAAAGTGCAATTCCTAAACTGAAGCAGCACGGGGCAGCTGAGAATCCTGCGATCCAAAGCATCCGGCGCCGGGGTTATCGGAGCTTCTTCGACTTTCACCGGAACTGGCACAGGCGACAGGAAGTGCGGCTACTCGACTCTCACGCACCAACAGAAGTTTTAGACTGTCCTGGCAACTGGGACACTTTCGACAGGGCTTCTGCGATCGAAGGTGGCACTGCACGCGGCACTACACTACACTTCAAGCGAGAAGGGATGCTTTTAGGGCTGTGGCTCCTTGCAGGCAAACGCCGGGCAAGTTCCCCGAGCCCTTTCGAGCAATAGTACAGTTGCTGCTTAAGAGACCCTGTACCAAAGCTGAAGGTCATTTCAACAAGCAAGCCCTACAGTCCTACAGTAGCTTCAGCCCGGCGATTTTCTCACCGGCAGTGACCGGAGCATGCCTGCAACCTCTGCTTGTCCAGCTGGTGCCGCCTCCTCGGAGCGGTTGGCTTTCTGAGTTAAGGTTCCAGGTTCGGGGTCTGAGGCCTGACTGCAAGAGGTTCGGGCCGGGGTCTTCGAGGGTTGCGGCGCCTACGGGACGTTAAGCAAAGGGAGCCCTAAACCCTTAACCCTAAAACCCAAACCCTTTTGCAACTGGCCTGCTGCGACTCCGCCAGGAAACCTAAACCCTAAAACCTAAACCCTAAAACCTGAACCCTAAACCCTAAAACCTAAACCCCTAAACTGCATGGAATGCAGCAAGAGAAAGTCTAGTCCAGTCTGACCATGGCCCTTCTCCCTGGAACAACCACAAAAGCCCGGTTCTCAGAGACTCCAATACCCCATAATTATAAGGAATATTCCTTAAATCACATTAAGGGTCCTACTATAATTTAAGGTATATTGGAGTCTTTGGGTTGTGGATACCGGTTCAATGACTTCGAGTGCGGGATTGTGGCCTCGGCTTGTGCACGCACAAAGTTCCGAAGTCGCGTACCTTATTATGCAAGCCTCATCAAGCCTCTACTGTGCAGCTTTGAGCATATCCGCGTCTGCTACGACTGCAACGGTGGTGTTGGTGGTAGTGGTGGATGGTGGTGGTGCTGGTGTTGGTGTTGGTGTTGGTGTTGGTGTTGGTGTTGGTGTTGGTGTTGGTGTTGGTGTTGGTGTTGGTGTTGGTGGTGGTGGTGGTGGTGGTGGTGGTGGTGGTGGTGGTGGTGGTGGTGGTGGTGGTGGTGGTGGGTGGGGGTGGTGGTGGTGGTGGTGGTGGTGGTGGTGGTGGTGGTGGTGGTGGTGGTGGTGGTGGTGGTGGTGGTGGTGGTGGTGGTGGTGGCTTGCAATGCTGCTGCTGAGGGCCGGGTCCTCATCCGACGAAACAGTGAAGGTCACGTCCTCGCCGAAACCTGAATTACGGCACCTACGGCTTGGGAGGTGTCAGCACTCAGACAATACAGTCCGGTTCTCCGATATGAACTCGAAGATGCTGCGTCCACGCTGATGCACTTTTGTCTAGAGCTCAGCTCCTGGGACCCCTCTCAGCTTCTAGACCTCCCGATGAGCTTGGCAATTCGAAATCTGTTCAGGTCTGTTTTGTTTTGCATTGGCTTCATCAGGCTTGTTTTCATGCTTCTTCCGACGACGTCCTCTGCATGTTACGAATTTGTCAAGTTGGGAAGGTCGACTTTGAACTCGATCACTAAGGAACAAGCCCGGCCCCCACGACCCTCGGTCACCAACCCATGGTTTTCTGAAGCTTTGCCGGGTCGCTGCTTCTTTCTGGAGGATGGGCGGCAGAACTGCTGGAAGTACGGGACGTCCCGTGGAAAGGAGGGGTGCGCGCCTGCATTCAGGGCATATGGGATGATTCGGTCGACAAGCAAGTGCTTCTTATCCTTGGAGCATCGACAACACAGTATCAGTAACGGTGGAAAGGCCTTCGTAGACCAGGAACCACATGAACCACATTGACAAGAAGCGATCAGCAGGGATTCGTAACAAAGAAGATATAAGATGACAGAAGTAAACCGTCATAGTGACATGTAATGTGCTATTTAAGGAAGAAGAGGAAAAGCAAAGGAAAACTACATGTTTGTTTGTGGGCTCTCTTTTAAAGTACAAAAGAAACCAAAACCACGACAAGTAAGAAAAGGAGCCCAACTCAAGTTGACCAGATGATAGCACGGTAAGCCGCACCACTCCTTTGCCCAGAGACAAGATTTACCAGGCTTTGGGGATTATTTAGGGATTCATGGCCTCAAGGGTTTTGACTTTCTGGTGTTTAGGAAAGTTCAAGGCTTTCGGGTTCGGGCGTAGGGCACCCAAAGACTCCAATATCCCTTACTATGGAATATACCTGAAATTATAGTAGGATACTTAACAAGATCAAAATATATTCCTTAATAAAGGGATATTGGGGTCTCGGGGCAGCCTCCTTGGCTGTCTCCGGCTCACTGTCCGAATCGACGGCAAAGACCGTGTTCAACTCAGTGGGACAAAGTCTGGCTTCAGGGTGTAAGGCTCCGATCCAAAAAGGGTGCCCGATTCAAATCACTCTGCAAAGCTGCATTGCCTTTGCTGGACTCTCTGTCCAACGCCACGGCACCGGCTTACCAAACTAGTCTTGTCCGACTGTTACATAGTGACATAGAGGAATCGAAAAGGCTCCAAAGGGTTTGGGATATGTTCTACCGTGGTAACGGCTTGGCTCATAGGCTACGACAGACCATGCAGCGGATTCGTGTTGCTCTCACTTCAACCATCCCAAACCGACTTCCCACCCTGGCTGGGGCTCCCACATCGGACAGGAGGCTGTGCGAACTCTCAGTTGTCGTGGGATCCTTCACCTGCTCCTCCAGGACACACTTGCAGGTCGAGGGCCCCGGAAATGCAAGGAGCCAGTTGTTAGGCTGCACTACAGCTTACAGTCATAAGCTACAGAACGATACTTGTAATCAGTTCTAACCCCACTTAAGGGACTTATACCCTTACCTACCCCATTCAAGGGACTTTACACCTTACTTACTAAGTCCCAACCCCCCCAAACCCTAAACTCCTAAACCCCATAAACATCCATGAACCCTTTTCCCCTAAACCCTTTTTTGAGCGCGGACTTGGAGTGTATTCCCCTACACCCTTTTCCCCTAACCCCAAGATCCTTTCAGCCCTTCTTCCTCGAGTCGTTGGTCCAGGCACAACTCCGCAAGCTGCCGCCGCAACTTCTCGGCTTCGGCTTCGGCTGCCGTGCGGCCTCGGCAGTCGATTAGGGTGTTATGATTATTGTTGTTGCTACTATAAGCTATTATTATATACAACTAATATTACTCTACATATAAATATATATATATATACACACACACTTATACTAAACCAGTATAACTGTACATTACTACTCTATGTTATTATTACTAGATATGAAGGCAGTCGGACAAAACGAGGTCTGTCGGTTAGGGTTTAGGCTTTATAGTTTCGGCTTAAGATATTTTGGACTGTTCGTGTGCAGGAAACCCATTCATAGCGCCCGTAATCGCCCATCTATTGCATATCGTGTGACGCAAAATTCGAAATATTAAGGTCCTGTGTTGTCGTCGCTCTTGGTCGCGTTTGGCTTTGTCGATAGCTAAGGCCCGGGATAGCGCAACGATCAACAACGACGACAGCAGAAGCCCTCAACTCTGCACCTCTGTACGTGACCGAGAATGAGGGTCGGGCTTACTTGTGGATCCTACTGGCTAGGATCTTTCCTTGGGGTCCTTTAACATCTGGAACTCCCACACCCAAACGTAGGATGTACGACTTCCATAGTAGCTCTATCATCGCAACCGCCCGGCTGACAGAGTCGCACCGCAGGGATCCATAATCCATAATCCAAAATAGCTCTATGCAGGTAGGGTGTCGGCAGGGACCAAAACCTATAGGAAGTCATCAGTAAGGCTCACGGGGTGGTCTTCTTGGTGGTGTTACCGTGTAAAGGTGTTTTCCCCTTTTATAGTGGCAAACAACTGCTGCCCCGGCTGCCATTGCATGCCATTGCCAAATCAGAGTACCTCTGCACTGTCACAGTGCCCTTCGGCCCTATGCGCTAAGCTCTGCAAAGCCTAAGCAGCCTAAACATCCACAAACCCTAGGCCGAAAACCAAACTCAAAACCCTAAACCCTATTATAGATCCCTTCAAGGAACCCCTAAACCCTAAATCCAAAACCCCAAACTCAGATTTTGTCCGAAGCCCGGACGGGTCAGCGTAGCGCAATACTCGGCTGCGGCACAGGAGCGCCACAAATGCTCCCCGGCACAAGAAGCCTGGAGGGTTTCTCTAAGGGTTCCTTTAAGAGTTCCTTCAAGGTTTCGGCGCTCACACTCGGACAATCCAGGCGAGGCATATGGTTCGGAGTCTGCTGAGTGAAACTACACTAGTCCTTCAAGGTTAAGGGTTTAGGGAAAAATCGGTCCTTAGAAGAGTTCCGATTGTAAGGGAATCTTCAAGGGTTCCTATACAGTAAGGTTCCTGTAAGGGCTCCTGTAAGGTTTCGATACGGTTCCCATAAGGCCGCAGCCAGGCTCGGGGTCTTCAGTGCTGACATTCTTTGGAGATTCAAAGGTTCTGGGTTCAGGGTTTAGGGTTTAGGGGGTTCCCAATATTTCTACTGATCTTGAGCTTTAGAGTCTAGGGCCTAAGGTCCCGCAGCTCGGAAACACCGAAATCCCACACCGGTTTTCCCCTACCCCTTTCAAAACTCTCCGGAGCAAAGGTTTCGAATGGCAGTAAAACAGGAGCACCGAAACCGAACAAAAGGGGGTCTGACCTGTCTAACATGGTGTGGCTGTTTCTTCAAAGACAGAGTAGGGCCGAGTAGGGCCTCGGTAGGGCGCGTGAGTTGGGAAGTATGAGCCAACGGAAACTTCTGAAGAACATCTGAGTGCCGAGCGCATTTCCTGCACAAGTCCTCTGCCACTGTCCTGCAAGAATCATGAGCTACCGGCTTTGCTTGCTGATAACTTTGACATACTTTTACCGCAGCCAAACCTGGATAACCTGGAGCGGCATTACCCTAAAGCCAAAAAAATCATCTGAAACCTAAGCCCGCAAATCCGCAGCCCGATGCCATATACTGTAGGGGCCTTAGTAATTACCTATACTATTTTGGGGCTCCCTGTTATAACTATAATTAAAGATTAACATGTCCCCAAGCACTATTATTCTAATTATTAAGGCCCTATGTTACCGTTCTCTGCAGACGGGTCCTGGCTTCCCGGTACCGCGTCCGGAGACCATCAAACGCTTCGGGGCCTCAGGCAACCAATGTTGCGAGTGCTTGCTGCGCCCTGGAAACACCTGTGCCCGAAAAACCGCTAAGTCCAGATCCGAACTAAGGCAAACCTTGCGAACAAGTTTCAAGTGAGTCATTCCCTAAATCCAACCGCCTGATTTTCAGAGCTCTGCCTGCACAGGTCCGGCAGAGGTCGCCCACGGTGACCGTGCCACACTTGCGACAAACGGGCCGAAGCAATCGGCCTGCTCAGGGCCCGACGCTGAGTCGTGTGATATGTGATATTACTGCATTTCTTCTTGTCGTGCTGCTGTTTTGCCGGATGAAACGTGATAACCCTTGCAGGGCTGAACCAAGACAAAAACATGACAAAGACGCAAAGTTTTGCAAACCTACCGTTTGGCTGCAGGCTTGCTTGCGAACCTACCCAAAATCCCAAGCCCACACCAAGCAACAAAGTTACTTACCTGCCTAGTGGGCCACTCGCGCGCGAGGACGAGGAGGAACTTGGCCTTTCAAAGCTCAAGCCTAATGCAAGGGGGTACCTCGTGCAGTGTTATTCACACTCTAGAATCCGGACTCTGTTGCAAACAAATCCCCAGGTCCAAACCAGCTGCACTGCTCTCAAGACAATTAAGTGTGATGTAGCCGTCTTACCCAAGTAGGACAGGATTTTGAAGTATATCATAATAAGGGAACCTTAGGGAGACGCCGTAAGACCCCTCTAGTACCTCGGCACTGCATGGAGCCAAACGCTGACGTCCAGGGTAGCCCTCGGCACAGCGCTCGGTTTCGAGTTTCGGCGGTTATAGGCTTGTGGGAGGAGGCGGAAGACTCATAAGTTTCATCAGCACCCCGCCTTTGAACAAGAGTTGCTAGTAACAGGTACCTGTGCGCATCTTGATGTTACAGATTTACAGCGCTTGCGATCCTTGTTCCAAGACGTACTGTGTTCTATACCCCCGCCATTTCCTGGGAGGTGTACGGCAAACCGGCGAGGTCGGAATGCAGCATCCGTGCAGTGGACGGAAGAATTGCCTGACAGATCTGGGTTTAGGGTTTGACTGCTGTTCCTGCGCTTTGCGGTTGAGCGGTTTAGGGTGTTGGGACTACGGTCGTTGTTGTTGTGTCGAGTAGCTTTTAGATTGAAAGCGCACCGATGGTTCAAGAAGTGTTTCAGCTTGTGGGGCGCGATCACAGTGCCCTTGTGAGCTTTGCAGATGTTTTTTGGTTTCGGGGCTCACAAAGGTTTTGGACCGTCTTGCCGTTCGACCCTTAAAGACTCAAAGATTCCCGGGGTGAGATTCATGCTCCATCACTCGCACTCAAAACGGTTTCAGCTGAGGCAATGGAGCCGGTGCCGCGTGACACACTCCTCAGTTGCATTGAACCTCGGAGTCTTCCGCATCTCTTGGGAGGCCGTTTATTCCAGCAAGCATCAGGAGTCGAAGAGGGCCTCGGAGGTGTTTGGAGATCATGCTGCCTCATTACAGGGAAGCAGCCAAGATGTAAGACTTGGCAGCTCGCAGGGGCAAAGTCCCACCTCTGCACTCGTCCCCTCTCCTCCGAAATCGATCTCGGAAGTCCGACATGTCCAGGAGGGCCGCCACCGCTGCGCGTCTTTTTCTGGCCCTGCCCTTCTTGCGGCCGTTGCAACCCGCCGAGTCAGAGATCGCTAGGTATCGCCAAGCTCGGAGAGTCGCCTCTGGAGCAGCTCCCGGTCCTTCTGCAGCCGAAGGCTCCCACGGCTGCTGGGCACCCTTGAGATGTCCGGTGCCTCCGACACAGACACGCTGGAAGCCTCATACTCCGGTGGTGGCTCTTCCTCATGGCGGCGCCAGGATTCAGCTGCTGCCTGATCTTCTACTGATTTTCTCTCAGGTGCCTCGGAACAGCTCTGGCTCCCTCTTCCCTCCGTCCCGGGACGTCGGAACGCAGAGTCTCTCCGCTCTGTCCGTGCCTTTCTCCGGCTGGGAGCTTCCGCTCGAGGCGGAGCCTGGAGCTGCTGAAGTTCACCTGGGCTCTTGTTAAGGAATTAAGTTACCATAGTTTAAGTTACCATAATTTAAATCACCAGTACCATAATTTAAGTTACCATAATAAATTTCAAATGAAACCATATTATTTACTATAGCTTCCTATATGATTCCTTAACAAGAACAGTCACGCAGGTGGCGATCTTGCTCCGTTTGGACTTGCCGCAGCTGCTGCAACTGCGTCGACTGATGCAGCAAGAGAATGTGGTTTAGCATCTCCTGCTGCTGTTGCTGTTGCTGCAGGTGGTACGGTAGCTGCGCAGCCACAGAGGGCGCTTCAGGAGGACGCATCTTTCTTTGCGTGTCAAACTGCCGCTGCTGTTCTCGCAATGCATCGAGCCTCTCTTGGCGCTCCCGTTCACGCTGTTGAGCTTCTAGCTGCTGCTCTTGCTGCTGTAGCTGCATCTCCTGTAGTCGGCACTGGTGTTCTTGCAGCTGCATCTGCCGTTGGAGTTGCTGCTCCTGGAGCAGCAGGAGGTGTTGCAGCTGATCGTCCAAAGCTTCCAGAGGCTTCCTCGCAGCTCCAGTCGACCCAGTCCACCCGGCCGTTGCTGAAACAGGTCGGGGCGGTAGTGGCACGGCACCTACACCTCGGTATATCCAGCTAGGAATGGGCCCTGCACTCGGCGCTTCCGCGGCGGGGTCCAGAAGCGAACTCTGCGCGGTTCTTGACTCGTTCCTGCGACTGGAGGGCGAGAAGAGGGGTGCAGCCCAGTCGTCATCCGTCGTCGGATACATGTGGCCAGAGGTCCCAGCGCCGCGCGGGCGGGACCACTCCTCGTCTGCTGCCGACCGCAGCAGTGCCGTGGCAGCTGCTTCGAGGCCCTCTTCTTCATGAAAGGCCTGCTCCATCTGTGGAAGAGGGATGCCTGTAGGAGATGCGCGGCTCTCACCGCATGGCGAATCCAGAGTATCCTCCAAACGGTGAAGATTCCACTCAATCACTGGATCCTGGGCGGCCTGCGCTGAACGGAGCCGGGCCTCCAAAGCCTCCAGCCGACGCTCGGAGGCCTCTTTCTCGTGGACCCACCACTCGCTGCGCGGTGGGAGTTTGATGGCTTGTGCAGTCTCGTAGTGCTGGTGCAGCGGCTCTGCCACGGCCCAATCCAGAACTCCGATCTTCTGAGCGGGAGCAGTCAGGGTGTCCATCCCGTGGACGAGAACCGGTATGCTTGGCCGACGTGTGGTGCTGCTGAGCCCCTCTGCAGACAGCGCCGACGGCTGTGGCTGTATTCCGGCACTCTCTGGTGAGGCCGGCGAAGCTTGCTCATCCGCATCTTTTGTCCGCGAAACCTCACTGCTGATGACCACACTTGCGGGCTGGAGGTCGGGAGAAATTTGTTTGCCAGAGCATGGTACAGAAGGCTCTGAAACGTCTGGATGAGCGGCACACAGACTCGTGGCCTTCGCCATAGCTTTCGTACTGCTGGCCATGCTTGTCATCTCCACTTTGTGCTCCGCAGCCCCCCTCGATCCCATCTCTTCCGACTTCTGGGGCTCGATTTCGTCCGGTACCTGTATTGGTCCGGCCACAGCAAGGTTGCTCGAAGCTATCCTCACCTTGGTTTCGTCTCCAGCACGAAACTCCTCCACTGTACCTTCTTGCTCTGCCGAGTCGGGTCGCGGATTGCCAGAGCTCGAGCTCGTCGCGGCCGGCAACGGCGCCTCTGGTAAGGACGGCGCTGGCCCGGGTTGCGTCACCGGCATCTCCGCTGCCTCCGCTTGCAAGTCGCTGCTTTGACTTGACTTCGAAGAAGTGCCAGTTCCTGGGTTCTTGTTAAGGGACTTATTTGAGTTACTTTATTTTAAGGAAACCGTACTATTTACTATATATGTATATATATATATATATATATATAGATCCCTTTTACGGGAACTGACATGAAATCTGAGACTTTTTAACAACAACCCAGGTTCCATCAGCTTCCCCCGTTCTGCTGCTGGTAGAGGAATCGGAGCTGCTCGTCCTGCTTCTGCTGCTTCCACTGGTTCTGGACTTCGGAGAAACCACAGCTTCTTCGGCAACCGCTTTCCCAGTGTCTGGACTCATGTGGTTCTCTGAAGCGACATGCAGCTTGACTGTAGGATTCTTTGAGGCAGGTTCATCTACGAGAGAAATTTCCTGCTTGACGGCAGGATTCGGTGGGTCGGGTCCATCTGCAATCCGAACCTCCCGCTTGACCGCTGGAGTCTTTGAGGCAGGCTCATCTGCAACCTGAACTGCCTGCGCGACGGCAGCATTCTTCGTGGTAGGCTCATCTGCGACCGGAATGTCACGCTTGACGGCAGGAGTGTGTGGGTCGGGTCCCTCTGCGACCCGAACCTCCTGCTTCGCCGCTGGAGTCTTTGAGGCAAGCTGAACTGACCCATCTGCGACCGGAATGTCGTGCTTGACGGCAGGATTCTGTGGGTCGGGCTCATCTGCGACACGAACTTCCCGCTTCACTGCAGGAGTCTTTGCGGCATGCTCATCCACAACGTGAACTGGCCGGCTGACTGCGGGACTCTCTGAGGCAGGCCTGCGTGCGACCAGAGCCTCTGGATCCTTTCTTGCGGGTTCGTCTTCGACCCGAATCTCCCGCTTGACTGCAGGACTTTGTGAGTTGGGCTCATCGACTGGAGCCTTCACTGAGACAGGCTCAACGTCTTCGAGCAGCTCTTCTAGAAGTGCCTGCTTCTCGCCTTCAGCATACCTCGGCATGCCCAAAGTCTTTTCTGGCCTTTTCAAGCGGATGGTGCCTGGTTTGCCAGGCGCCCTGGAGCTGGGAGCTGGTGACCGGGCCTGTGGCGGTGGCTGAGCTGGGGCCTGCGCAGCCAGAATCGGCTTTCCACTGGGAGACTGCACCTGGGTAGTTCTCCAAAGTAGGGTCCCTTTTAGGATTCCCAAAAACAGTACGGCACCCATATGTATATGTACGTATATGTATATATATATATATATATATATATACACATATATGAATATGAATGAACCTAAAACCTGAAAAAAAGGGTGAAAGGGACCCTTTTTGCATCCAGCCTGCAACTAAATGAGCGACTAAAGCAAACCTTCAAGGGACCCTACTTTGGAGAACTGCCCACCTGAATCCAGCCCTCCAAAGGCTCCCGGATGAAGGCACGGCGGTCCTTCCTGGGCTCTTCTGGAGGCTCGTCGCTTGAAGAAGAAGTTTCTGACCATGGTTTTACATATAACTAATGAAGCCCATACTGAAACAGAGGAAGAGGCGTTCACAGTCGGAACAGGGTTCAAAGTTTAACGTGGTTGATTCAAACTTAACAACCTTCTGTCTGATAAGAATATGGGCCTGTAGGTCTGGATATGAAAATGCCAATGCTATGCAATGCAACTTGACAGCAGCTTCAATTTAACGGCGAAGCTTCAGCTCCTGGACAAAGACTGTCCTATTCGGCGGGATGTGCCCGACGACTTCGGAGAGTCGGGACTCGTCCTTGCAGACGATGGCCTTCAAGTGCGTCCACCACCTGGTTTTCGGGTTTGATAGAGGTCTGACGGTTTCAATTCAAACTTGCCACGGAAAAGATAGACATCGCAACTTTTAATGTCCTTTATGACTTCCTGGTAACTGCCATCTAAAATCAAGTTCCTTAACAAGAACCCCGCCACCAGCCGATGCCGGGCAGCAAGTCGTCCTGTCCGTCCTGCCCTTGTGAGGATACATCGCCGTTCCTTGGAACTTCCACCGCCTGTGCGACTGGCTGCAGCAGTCTCTTGCTGTCGATTGCTCTCCTGCTGCTGTTGCTATCCGTTCTGCTGCCGGCTCCGCTGCTGGCGCTGCTGCTCGCACTTGACCCCTGGCCACGGGAGCTCGACTCAGCTGCCTGTGCAGGAGGCTGTGACTTTGCTGCCTCCGGAGCCTGGCGCGACTCACCTTGTGTCGCCGCAACGGGGGGCTTGAGAGTCGGCTTACTTGAAGTCGCGTCACTGCTTGGGCTTGTCTGACTATCATTACTATTACTATCGCTGGACCCACTGGTGTCTGTGTCACTGGAATCACTCGAATCTGAAGGTTGTGATGCCCTGGGTGCGCTCACTTCCGGAGCTGCGGAGGTTTCCTGTGACACGGTGGGCTCTCGTTCGGCGGTTATAACTGAAATCCAGCCCTCCAGGGGCTTTCGGATATGAGCTCTCATACCCTGCAACTCTTCGATGAACACGCGTGTGCCGAGAGCTATGGAACCCACCAACTCGGTGCGCTTCTCGCGACCCTTGCGGACATTCAAGTCGCGTAGTGCACGCACCCAACCTGTCGTCACGGGTGCATCCCTTTGCTTCTCTGACTCTAGCAGTGGCTCCTGGACGATTGTTGCTTCGTCGCCGGCTGTCCGTATCGATATCCATCCAACATATGGCGATGTGATCTGCCCACGCTTGCCAGATACGGCTGCAACATAAACATCTTGATCCGGCGGGATGGTCCCCAGTGGCTCGTCACGCTTGGATCGGCCGGCGCGCACTGTCAAAGGTTGAACCGTTCGCACCCAGCCAAGGCCTGTAGCATCGGACATCCGTAAATGTAGGAGCCATGGCCAAGGATGGCCAAGGTGCAAGATGCCAATGTAATATATGTGTCTTGATAATTACCTAGACTACTTTGGGTGGGTTCCTTACTATAAGAAAAGTATAGCGGGCCATCAAGGACCCTATGTTACTACTCCACCACCAGCTACGGGGCTAGATTCTAGATAAGTCATGGTCATATGAGGGGTGCCCTTTCGTTCCTGATAAATGCATCGATGTCGGAGTTGGTGAACGAAAGCCCTTCAGTTCCCTTGTGCACACGAGTTGAAGGTTTCGGGGGTTCACCCCCTTATCATGGCAGGCTCAAAGGAAACTCGATGGCTGCAGCGGGAGAAGGTGCGTCGGAAGGACTGCAAGCTCCTCATTGATCTTTCATGAGCCCAGAATGCACCGGTTCGGCTATTTGCCAGCCTGAAGCCTGAAGTCAAAACCCTTCAGAGGGAGGCCTTCTCCACGTACCACCAGCGATCCAACCTGGCAAGTCGTCTTTCAAGATATGCTGCCGAGGCCAGGCTAATAGCTTTGATTACTTGATGAAAACCAAACAAATTCAAACACAGTCTGCTGCTTCGACTTGTCCTTCTCAACCATGACCGCCGTCATGGTATGCCGGCAAGCTGGGCTCTCAAGGTCTTCATGAGATACCAGCAAACTTAAAACTAAGAAACCCTACATACTAGACGCCAGCAGCAACGCGATCTGAATCGTACGCAGGTAAATTGACGGACAACACCTCCACCACCGCCAAAATCCACCACAACCCACCGCAACTTTGTTTACCATGGAAATTCTGTAAGCCGTATTCTGGCAATCATGGCTGCGGAGACAAACAAGATAGACTCGAGCAAAGACTAACCTGAATATAATATCGTTGTCGCGATGTGAGCTGGAAGCCAGCACCAACAATTGCAGCACCGCGATCCTTACAGTGAAATGACAGGCATGTTCGAACAACATTAACCACGAAGCCATCATGGCTGTACTACGTCAATTCCTGGGCCATTCTACTCGGACGCCCGCCAATTCCTCGAACCCCCCTGAGGGCACCTCGGTGGTGACTCTGATTCTGCCCCAGCCTGTGACAGGGAAGCTTTACGTATCAGCTCTTATCATTGATTACTGTTGTAAGTGTGGCATATGGACGTAAGTATTTTAGCTGACTGAATTTCTTGACAACGTCCGAGGGGAGGGAGAATATCTCGTTTACTGGGTTTGGGGCTTTCTCATCGTTGCTGTTCTGGCGACTACGATGCTAGAATTAGTGATTGTGTGTTTGCGAGACTGATTATCAGTAGGGCGCGGGCAGTTCCGGTCATTGCTGCGAGCGTTGCTTGAATCGGTCATCTGGTATTCCGGAGTACGAAACGGCTATTGAGATATCCTCAGGAAGTCAAATTTCAAAGGCCAGCACTGCTTTTCAACTGAAGCACATGGAGCTCGGATCGATGACCAGTGGCTGCGGACGACATCTCCCGAGGCCAGCTGCAAAGCAGCTGATGACGCCGAGTCTTATGTGGTACTGCTCTCTCACAAAATCCTGCATGATCCTAAGGACTCTAAACTATGGGAACTATGGTATATTCCTTATAATGGGTAATGCAGGATTTTGTCCATCAACCGTATCATGCCTCGCAGCAAATGAGTACACTGCCTCATAACTCTGCTCATGCCACCAAGGTTTTTCCTTGCCAGAGTATGCTTTGCTCTGCTTGGCACGTCCTTCAGGACCAGTAATATAGGGGCCTTAGTAATTAGAATAGGGTTTTGGAGCCCATTATACTTTAACTATTAATAAGGATCCCCTCCAAAATAGTATTGATAAGTATTAAGGCCCCTATACTGCTCAAGACCAACGTCAGCGTTGGTGATTCCGAGAAGCTGGAAGCTGGTTCTGGTCGTACTGCTCTCCACCTCGGGCGCTTCAAGCTGCAATAGATCCCGACGATGCAGTATGCACAATATAGGGGCCTTTACAATGAGAATAGGGTTTTGGTGCCCAGCATACTATAATTACAGAACCAAACCCCCAAAACAGTATAGGTTATTATAAAGGCCCCCATATGATATGCATGGACCCTCGCGGCCCTAGCATCTTGTGCGAGCCAATTAGGGTTCCGGCGGTCACACGATTGGGTTTCGACTCGCACGCTCGCTCAAGGCAGCCACGGATTCATGCGAAGCGGTTCAGCAAGCTACGACGATTGAGTTTAGGAGGGCGGTTTTCTTTCCCCGTATGTCCTGATGTGTGTAGTATTCAGGCTAACGAACACATTGTCCTTCATAAACGTGGCGTCTCAGAGCAAGCGATAGGCTCAGAGTACGTCGCAGCGACTAGCGTGAATTGCCCATATTGCCAAGTCACATCGGCTCGGACTACTCTTCCACCCAAAATCTCATTGCAGCGGCGAAAAACTCCTCCCGGACCATGTGTCCTTCGCATGCTGCAGGGATTGGACATGTAACGACCGCCGCGGCGTCTGTGTCACAGTGAAATTTCTGCCAGCGCTTCCGACATTGCGTACAATACGGCGACATGGTTCATGCCCCTGAGTCAAAGAGCTGTCCTGCTTCCGGAACCATGGAGAATTCAACAGAGTACCTCGACCGAAATGGTGTGAGCTGTGGGCGAGCACGGGCGTTTGCACCCTGTCTTGTTTTTCTCGTTTACACGAGCAGAACCGGCCCTCCCAGCACTCTCCCAATGCAAGACCAGAAGCCGAAAGATTCCAATGGTCGTGCGAAATGAGTTCAGGGTTTGGCTGCTCACATACTCCGAGCGATTTAGGCAAGACACCCAGCTGACTCAAGCCGCGCACAGAGTGGTCGTGCAACCGCCTCTCCAAGGTGTCGGATGAAAGGCCGAGGCAGCGGCGTGGTGTGGCTTTCATTGGCCACGGTGGTACAGTAGTGGGTGCAAGGTGTGACTCGGAGTTTGATGCGCTGCCGTAAACATACTAAGGCAAGAAGCCCTCCACACAGCCAGGCAACCCACACACACACGCACACACAACCCTGCAAACCAGTCCAACAGTGTGAGCGCAGTAAAGGCACACCCCTTAGTGAAGCACTTATGTAGGACCTTTATTAGGGTTCCTTATGTGAACCCTACTATTTTGGTGTTATAGGCCCAGGGTTTCTTAATCCGGTTCCTACATTAAACTGCCTCCGGCGTAAAGAGCCGATCCTTCGCGCCGTACTCCAGGAAGATCTGAGCAACACGGAGAGAAAGAAACGGCAAAGAGGGGCCCGGCAAGGGAAGTCTGGGGCTTAGGGCCCTAGGGAATGATCCGATATTTGGCGCCAAGTGAATCTTCCAGGAGTACGCGAAAATTTAGCAGCGATGGCAAAAGTAAAAGGGCTGGCTGTACTCGTACTAGCCATACACACTGGCACAGAAGATCGACACGGCCAATATATACACCCTGTATTGCAAGATCGGAGTTCTGATCAGGGCCCCGATATAAGCCACCCCCAGTGTAAGAAAATTCCAAATTCAGTCTGTTGCAATCTCGAGGATCACGTGTGACGAGGCTGGACACACAGCAGGGGCCGAAACCCCGAAGCGAAAACGCTAAACCTCAAGTCGGCGAGCCTGACCCGTAAACTTCCTTTGAGCGGGCCCCTGATGAAGAAATCCGCCCACAACCAAAGACTTTGAAACCCTACGCCTACAACCAGAACCCTAAAACCCTGCAACCCCAAACCCAGAAACCCTACAGCCGAAAACTTTGAGACTCTAAGCCTAAGCCCAAGCCTACAATCCAAAATCGTGAAACCCCATAGCCACTGTACGGCAGGATGCTCGCGGCTTGTCTGCACAATCGCCACGTGCGTCAACGAAGAAGCCAACAGCCTGAACCAGCCTGTCAGGGGTCTTAGGGTTCAGGGGATCCTGTTAGGTTTTCAAGCTTTGTATATAAGGGTTTCTTTACGGGCCAATACCGGAGTTGCCACAAGGGTACTGTGCGGGTTTGGGGCGGTTTAGGGTTTCAGAAAACTAATAAAGAGTCCTTGCAAGGATTGTCCGTTTAATTGGTGCTTGAACAGAACCTAAGACATCGTAAGATGCAAAGGGTGCGATACCTACGGCAGGGCAGGCCTTGTTTGGATGTCGGATCTGTGGGGGGGGGGGGGTGCCCTCGCGCTTCTTTGCGTTGAGCCTCGCTGTCTCACACTTCGGGCTGCATCTCACTACCAAATTGGCAAGTGAAGGGCCCGGAGACCTGTTCTACGGGGAAGGATGCTAACCACTCGCCAGCAGAAGGCGCGATGTCCATGACATCCTTCTTCTGCAGTGTAGTGTTGTACTCATACATGACCACGCCCGGCCACACATCGCAATTCAAGATCGACTGAAGGATGCTGTCCCATTTGGCATCTCGCCGGCGGTACATCACCCGGATGTCATTGCTAAGCAGTGCGGCAGACAATGCGAAGCTGGAAAAGGAGAGGACAAGGTTCTGTGCCTGCAGCAGCGAACCAAAATCCTCTACCAACGACTCCCCGGTGCTGCGACTCAGATTTAGTTGGTGCTTCCGCCCAAACTCGACAAGCCAGCTGTCGCAAGCAGCCGTGGTTCTCTGTCTTTCAGACTTTCGCTTTGCAACCACGAAAATGTTCCGGAACCCGTGGTCCAGGATGATTCGCTGGTACATGCTGCAGGGGGGCTGGCCCCACTCGAACTTGGCGTGGTCCTTGATGTCGTCGGCCCGCAGGTGGATCGTCAGGCGGTCCGCGACTTCGGCTTGCCGGTTACTTTGTGCATGCACCAGCTCCGCCAAACGCTGGCCTAGGTAAGGCACAACGAAGGACTGCATCACGTGGCGATGATGCCAGGCAGGTACCCGTCGACAGTGGTCAAAGTACCACTTGTGCGAGAAGTCAGAAGGGCAGCTGCTTGGAGTTGTTAGCTTCCCATGTTCGGTTGTTCTGAGCAGAAGTGTCTCAGGCATGTTCAGGAGGCCCTTTTGCTCCTGGTATCCCTCCTCTAGGTGTTTGGGAAACCTGACCCTGGGTGTATGGCAGAAGAAAGCTGCCACCAAGGCATGGCTCACCTGGAAGTAATTGTTTCCAATCCTCCCGTTCCATTCCGTGACCCGCAGCTCGGATGGGCACCGGACGGTGCCGCGCTCGAGCGAAAGCTGCCTAGGTGGGGGTTATAAAGCCTTTGAAATATATTAGTAAATAAGATCCTCTTTAGCCCAATAAGGGAAAATATAAAATGTCCCAAAACTCTACCTAGCTGCCATTGGTAGGATAAATCAGGCTCCAAGGAAGCTAAGTCGGCAGCCTGGGAGGCCAAGTGCCGTGCCGGTGGCCCCTTAGCAGCCTGAGAGCTATACTGCAACAAGCTGCCAGCATCAGTTTGCAACGAGCAGTTGCTGCCGGCTCTCGTGGGCACAAGAAGGCTCGCTACGAGCATGCATACCGAGATTTGCCGGGTGGAAGTTCGCACCATTATGACCAGCCTCATTCATTCTTTGAAGGCCTGCGGGATCCGTGCATTGCTGTCCGCAGCCGGCCCAGGGCATGCAAACCTTGAATCTTACGAACCCTAACCTAAACCCTATAATAACCTGGTGTAGGTGGGTAAACAACTCTTTGACGAACGCTCGCAAAAGGAGCCGCCAGAAGTGCCACGAGCTGCTGCAGATGGCACAAGCGGAGTACGGTATCGACAAAATGAACTACATCTACATCCGAGCCAAAAGGATCGAAATCAACGAGTGTCAGAGTGCACAGAACGGGATGAGCAAGACAAGCGCAACATGTGATGTTCACATGCCGCCGATCGCATTAACATAGCAAGTTTATCGCCGACAGGAGTTCCCAAACCCTAAACCCTAACAAACCCTCGGCCATTAACTGTAGCTCACACCGAGGAACGCCGTTCTGAATAGCGACGGATTCCGAAGCGCCTTGGCTTAGCACAGCCCTTGAGGCGGGAGATCAGGCAATTGGTACTCCGCGGTTAAGGCCGGCGAGTGCTCTGAACCCTAAATGGTGCCACGGTGCCATGGACAGCCCCAGGGAGCCCCCATCAGACATGCCCATCACTGCGATGTTGCCACCATTTATCGGGAGCAGGCGGCCTGGGACCAGGGCCGCGTTCAGAAACTGGGTTTATGACGCTCAAGTAGTAGTGGTAGTTTTGGCTCCCACTTGTCACTTGTCGGACTCGCAGTAGTAGTAGTAGTAGTAGTAGTAGTAGTAGTAGTAGTAGTAGTAGTAGTAGTAGTAGTAGTAGTAGTAGTAGTAACTTAGTAGTAGTAGTAGTAGTAGTAGTAGTAGTAGTGGTGGTAGTAGTAGTAGCAGCAGCAGCAGCAGTAGTAGTAGTGGTAGTTGTAGTGGTAGTGGAATCCCTGCACTTACAACCCGATTCAAATCTGTAAAAGTCCCCTTATCAGCCTAGCTGCAGACCTCGTTCATGGCGAACTGGATAAAGTCCATATCCTCTCGGAGAGCATAAGTCCACGGAAGACGCTTCAGCTCTCTTTGAACGCTTCGTCGTCTTCGGAATGCCGGATCTTACCGGATGTATGGAAACGAACTGCCTGGTGTACAACACATGCAAAGATCACCGAAAGCAAGTTATGTAAAACATGGTAGTCTTGAAAGCTTGATGTAAGCCCACCGGCAATCGGAAAAGCTAGGTTCAGGAGGTTTCCAGATTTTCCAACCTTCGTGTAAGGAGGGGTCCCAGGCTTCGTCTTTTTGCCTCCTACCTACACCTATCAGGGAAGCCCATTGCAGTGAAAAACTCCGCGTGAACAGTTGAATGTCACGATCCAGTTTCTCACAACAGACGGCACACAGAGTTTTGGTCAGGCGCAGACCCGGATCCACAGCCGTTCTAGACTTCTTGATCGTCAGCGTCTCAAGCCAGATTTCACACCTGGAATGAAGACTCAATGGAGACACTTTCGAACTCCCAAACCCCGGCTTACTCGCTTCGTCTAGTCTTTAGGGAAGAAGCTCTCGAAACTCGGACGGTCTAGGCGAGGATGATAGGTCGGCAGGGGAACTTCATCGAGACTAGGTCGTGAAACTGAAGGTCATGCTAGTCATGCTCATGTCGAGGTAGTGCGAGCTTAGGTTTACCCAGAAAGTAGGAATATCATTATCGTAACCCCTTTAAGGTAAACTATAGGGGATCCTACCATTAATCCATATTCCAACTTTCTGGAGTTCCCTTTAAGAGTCCACTTAAAGACGACCGGCCTGCCGTTGCCCCGTGAGCAAATAGTCCCACGTCGGACCACGAGACTCGGGGATCCTAGTCCATGGTGGGGATCGTATTATATGGGAGTTTCCGAAAACAGGAGTACCTTATTTTGGGGGTCCTTATAATAAGGATCCTACTATAGTATCGAAAGTGTAGGTTTAAGTACCCATTAAAATGCAAAATGTTTAATAATTGCGGCACAGGATCAGTATAGCGACGCGATAGCGCTGGGCATCGCGCTGCCATCGCTCCTGGCTGCCAGGGCACTTCCTCTTCCATTGATGATTAATTGGCGCCAACATTCAACTACATGCCCGATCACAAGTTGGTCGGATACTGGGCCAGGGTGTGAGGGGCACAACATCGATCGCAGCCGACATCCGCAGCAAAGTTGCTCAACTGTGCACGCCACTCACCATGGCATCCCGAACCCTGATCCCTTCTGCGAGCTGTATGCAGATGCACGATGCTGCGTTCGCTGCGAGGGTTCGTTTAACCTTTTTTTCGAAGCCGAGAAGTTCTCTAAATACAACCCTTCAAACGGGCTAAATCTTTGGCTTGAGTACCGGCCCTTCCGTGCAAACCAAAGACACAGATTAGGGCCTCGCATCAGTATGGGGGAGTAGGGAAATGTGATCCTACAGCAACAGCAACAGCAACCCCCAACCATCCGAGGTGCTGTAAAAGACATGAAGTCCCAGTCCATCGGCCTGTTACAGGCTGTTTCGCACTTGGAAAAGGTGCTGCTGGGAAAGCAACGCCACCGTCAGTGAAAGCAGCTCTGCAGCAGTCGTCGTCGTGGTGGCAGTACTTTTTCGTACGAGAGCTACTACTACTACTGCTACTACTACTACTACGACGACGACTACTACTACTACTACTACAACTACAACTACTACTACTACTACTACTACTACTACTACTACTACTACTACTACTACTACTACTACTACTACTACTACTACTACTAACTACTAACTACTGACTACTAACTACTAACTACTAACTACTAACTACTAACTACTAACTACTAACTACTAACTACTAACTACTAACTACTAACTACTAACTACTACCTACTACTACTACTACTACTACTACTACTACTACTACTACTACGACTACTACGACGACTACTACTACTACTACTACTACTACTACCACTACCACTACCACTACTACTACTACTACTACTACTACTACTACTACTACTACTACTACTACTACTACGAAAACGACTACGACGACGACTACTACTACAACTACAACTACAACAGCAACTACTACAACAACTACTACTACTACTACTACTACTATTTCTACTTCTACTTCTACTTCTACTTCTACTACCACCACTACTGCATCTAACACCGTATTAGTTGTAGTAGCACTACAAGTAGGAATAGTGGCACTAGCAGTACCAGTAGTCCTGGGAGCAGTAGCAGCAGCAGTAGTAGTAGTAGCAGTAGCAGTAGCAGTAGCAGTAGCAGAAGCAGAAGCAGAAGCAGTAGCAGTAGCAGTAGCAGTAGTAGTAGCAGCAGCAGTAGCAGCAGCAGTAGCAATAACAGTAGCAGTGTAGTAGAAGTTGTGGTAGTCGTCGTAGTCGTAGTAATAGTCGTATAGTAGCATTCATAGTACTGGTAGTAGCAGCAGTAGTAGTAGTAGTAGTAGTAGAGACGTAGTAGTAGTAGTAGTAGTAGTAGTAGTAGTAGTAGTAGTAGTAGTAGTAGTAGTTATAGTTAGTAGCTGTACTAGTTATAGTTGGTATTAGTAGTAGTTACAGTTGCAGCAGCAGCAGCAGCAGCAGGAGGAGGAGTAGTAGTAGTAGTAGTAGTAGTAGCGGCAGTCGAAGCGGCAGCGGCAGGGGCAGCGGTAGTGGCAGTGGCAGTATTAGTAATAGTAGCAGTAGTAGTAGTAGCAGTAGTAGTAGTAGTAGTCGTAGTCGTAGTGTGTAGTAGTCGTAGTAGTAGTCGCAGTAGCAGTAGCAGTAGCAGTAGCAGTAGGAGTAGCAGTAGCAGTAGTAGTAGTAGTAGTAGCAGTAGTAGCAGTAGTAGCAGTAGTAGCAGTAGCAGTAGTAGTAGGAGTAGTAGTAGTAGTAGTAGTAGTAATAGTAGTATCAATAGAAGCAGTAGCAGCAGCAGCACTCCATGTGTAGCCTTAGCCTTAAAAGTAGCGTTAGGACCTCCCAATCATGAGGAGGAGACAGCCTGTAGCAACTGGCGATGGCGGCAGCAGTAGAAGGAGAAGGAGGGAGGCCGGGGGGCGGGGGAGGGCTGCGGAGGTGCTGGTGCTAATGTGTGGAGCAGCAGTTGTCGGGGCAGGGTTACATGACGAGTAAGCATCACTAGGTCGCTTCTATGCACAACCCGGGCCTTGAACCGTGGAGGACCAGAAGCAAGGGCAGCTGGCCCGGCAGCACGTCCGGCAGCCACACATGCCTCCAGAGAAGTAAATATGTGCTCGTATGGTCATAGGCATGATGGGTTTGAAGGCAGTTTGCCGAGGAAAGCAGGACTCCCTGCTGCAAGATCCAATCTTATATGCAGAAAGGCAAGGCCGGCTTACCCTGCAAGCCTCAATCTAATTTGTACGTGGGATCCTGCTACTACTTTCTACAATGCACGGCAACGCATAACCTAATGCCATACCAACTGCTGCAAAGCAGCGCTTGCTGGCCGGACTTCTCCACCCGAAAGCCTCCTGAACTTCCTGGGCTCAGAGTCGGCCCTCACGCTTTGACAAGGTGTCTTCACTGTGCCCCGCCCCCGCCCCTGTGTAGAGCGACAAGTATTTCTGAAAAGAACAGGTCCGCCGGCCGACGAGGGTCCTTGAGCCAATTCCGTCGGCAGCCGCGGCAGCCTTGGGGGTTGCAGCGCGACATGCAGCAGCTCCTTAGCATTGCAGTAGTGCTCTCTTTCCCTTATAAGCCTTACTACCCATAAGCCCGTGACCCAAACCTCCTAATGAGTATGGCCTGATCCCTGAAGCTCGAAAAACGAAACTGAAACCCAACCTGACACATTGGCAAAACCTTCTGACGCCAGATGCTGTCACTCTCGCTTCGGACTCTGCGCTTCTTCCAGATGATGTCTTGATCCCAATGGCGAAACTCCTGCTGTACGAACAAGATCCCAGGAAACACCATGAGCGTCATCATCATCATGGCACTGGCATCACCATCACCAGTAGCAAGCAGCGGCAGCCGCAACATTGATGACAAGTCGACCATACAGAAGGTTTCCGGGTTT